AAAATATTCTCAGGTGAGGACTAAGCAAAAATAATAATAAGTTGCAAACATTTCTCTGGCCACCAAATATTTGTCCATAACATAGCCAACAAGCTTCATTTAATGTGAATTGATTGATTTTAGAGAAATCTAAACATATTTAATTTTAAACAACCAATATCATAACCATCATTGCATTTGTATTGAGTTACACTTGCACTGTTTTTTATTATGGTGTTTGACTCAGATATTTGTATCTATGTTCATAAGTCACGCATAATTCTTGCAAATGAGAATACGCTAAAATGTATTTTTGCTCCTACAATAGTAAAGCAATAAAATGCAAGTCATAGGATCGTATATGTAATGGCCTTATTTTCATTTTCACAGGGCCTGATCCATGAATACATTTGCAGAAATATAGGGGGGAAAAACACGGAAGGATGCAAATCAAACCACCAATTTTGCTTTTCTGAGGGATCAGAGAGAAGAATGAGAAAGTGGAAAACCCTTTAATCTCCCAGATATATTTTGTGTGACTCTATATGGCTTGGTTTGAAATGAATGTGACATCATGCACGTCTTATGAAATGAAAAAGCATGCTATATTTTTTTAAGAAAAATAAAATTAAACCAAATATTCATGACGACTTCCTTTCTCCCCAGGAAAGCCCTCCGAAGCAGATACCACCAAGTGGTAGCTTCTGGCCAAGCGACCATCTGAGGTAGAGTTTCTCATCCAAACCTCTCAGGGGGTGGCGTCATCTTCATTTTACAAGTGAAAAAACGTGACCGGTGCCCAGATTTCACCAACAGGTGGTGTTGCTGGGTTTCCCCACTCCAAGCCCAGGCAGTCCTGCTGGGATCCTCTGTGATGAGTAGCCAAATTACTGTTCCCAACGGCGTCTGTCTCTCTCAGGCCTTGCTGTTGTCTCTCTCTCTACACTGTGGTCCATGAGCTGTCAATCAAACCATCTTGTCCCACCAAGCACTGCTGGTCCAGGAGCTGTCAATCAAACCATCTTGTCCCACCAAGCACCGCTGGTCCATGAGCTGTCAATCAAACCATCTTGTCCCACCAAGCACTGCTGGTCCATGAGCTGTCAATCAAACCATCTTGTCCCACCAAGCACTGCTGGTCCATGAGCTGTCAATCAAGCAATCTTGTCCTCCAAGCTTGATGAATCGGGGGCAGAAATCCTGCTTCCTGGACGCACATAGGGGGAGATGTACCCCCACAATCATGACGAAGTTATAATGATGTTTTCTGTTATTTCTCCTTTACCTGTTCCTGCTCCCTCAGACAGGAAGGGGAGCTCTGGAATACGACAGTTTCACGTTCTTTCCCCCACCCCAACACTGCTCCCGCCCTCCCTCCCCCAGGGCTCCCAACCTTCCCTGGGGACCCCCATGGATCACTCTGACCTCCCAGCAGCCCTCACGTGTCCCCCAGAGGAACCCTTTGAGCTGCAGGTCGCTGGGATCGCTCCCACATCTGGGACTCGTCACCCGCTCGCCTTAACCACGAGCACGTGCGGAGTCACCCGCAGGACGGCCGGAGACGCGGCCCGGAACATCATCCCTCCTCACAACAGCCTCTGGAAGCAATTAAGAGAAGACAGTTCCCATGGCGAAGCCTTCGGCAAGATATTTATGAGGGAGAAGACAAAAACGCACAAAGCCGAAAGACAAGCACTTCTCCGCCTCTCTCCCAATCCTGCAGAACAGAGCCCCTCCTTTCCCCTCCTCTCCCTCTCTCTCCCTATCCCTCTCCCTCTCACCTCTCCCTCTCCCCTCCCTTCCTCTCGCCTCTCCATCTCCCCCCCCCCTCTCCCCCTCCCCTCCCCCTCTCCCTCTCTCCCTCTCCCTTTCTCCCCCTCCTTCTCCCTCTCCCTCTCTCTCTCCCCCTCTCTCTCTCTTCCTCTCTCAAGGGCAAAGGAAGAGGACTATTTCTTCAGAAGATTCCCGAATTAATGATGCGCCATCAATACAAATGCATGGTATGCCCACGAATAAACGAGGGGTCTTTCTCCCACAGTCTAGTTTAGAATCAGGGGTTGTCTCCGGGAGAAACGTCTCCCGTGGATGTTTTGATGCCACACGTGTGGTCAGATAAAGATTTCTATAAGAGGGAGGAGGGCCTGGGCCGCAGTTCCCCGAGCTGGGTCACCGAACACCTCCAGCTATTTTCCCGAAGCTCTGGGATGGGCAAACGCCAGAACTGCCTTGGCCAAGCATTTCCCCCCTAATTTAAAAAGCCGTGCGCATGAAAGGGAATGTCATCCTATGCTTCTGACTCATTTACACTTAACGCATCAGAACATTGTCTTGTCAGAGGCGTTGGGCCCTCAACAAGGCCTGGGAGCGCTCACAGCAGCACACAAGCATGCACTCACACACGTGGGCGCACAAGAGGACCCAGACATGTGTCCTTGGTTGCTTAGAATTAAGAGTCACTATGGCCTTGCCGGTGTGGCTCAGTGGTTGAGCGTCGACCTATGAATCAGGAGGTCACGGTTCGATGCCCGGTCAGCGGGCTCCATCCCCAGGGCGGGGCGTGCAGGAGGCAGCCAATCAATGATTCTCTCTCATCATTGATGTTTTTATCTCTCCCTCTCCATTCCTCTCTGAAATCAATAAAATATATATCCTGTAGATGATAAAAGGTAATATGCAAATCGACCAAAGGGTGGAACTACCAGTTGCTCAACCACTGGGCCACCCGGCCCGGCTGCACTCAGAGCTCTTCCCCAAAGGGCTCTCTGAGCTGAAATGAAGGCTTCACGGCCAAGTCCGAGAGGCACCCTCCCCGGAGGCAGGCGGCTGGCCCGGGCTCACCCGGCCTCGCTGGTGCGAAGTCACATCCTGGCCCGAGACAAAAGGGAGAGTCTCTCCCTGTCCGGGCCCCAGGAGGCTCATTTCCTGCCCCGCCGGCCTGCGGCTCCAGGGCCAGGGCCCGTCATGGCACACCCAGGGCGGATGTGAGCAGGGCCGGCCAGTGCCCTGGTGGCTTAATGAGTTTCTGGCCCCAACCCGGGCCCCTCCTGCCCATCACCACCCTCCCCCCTCCTGGTTCTCACACGTGGGGACACGCTGTGGGCCATCTCATCGGCGTTGGATCCCGTTGCTTCTGGAATGTTCCCTGGAGCTGACTGACTAGGATTTCTGACTCGGGGAGGGGTGTGGGAGGACATTCTTAGACATCCCGGGGATTTCGCTTTTCCAGAAACGAGGAGCTACAAGAACAGTGTCCTAGGACTCCGTGGCCGGCAAACTGCGGCTCGAGAGCCACAGGCGGCTCTTGGGCCCCTGGAGGGCGGCTCTTCCACAGAACACCACGGCCCGGGCGAGTCTGTGTGGAAGACGTGGCGCTCGAAGACGTTTACGTTTGAAAAATGTGGCTCTCCAGAGACACGTCCCTCTGCCTGCTAAGCTGTGCTGGTGACTGCGGCCTCACTAGGAAGCACAGGATTTAGGAGAGAAATCTGAACCGATGAACGTTTGTTACAAGAACTTGGGCAACTGAGCAAGTCGTTTACCCGATTTCATCAGCGTTCCATAGTGTTATTATTATTTTTTAAAAAATATATTTTATTGATTTTGTACAGAGAGGAAGGGAGAGAGATAGAGAGTTAGAAACATCGATGAGAGAGAGTCACCGATCAGCTGCCTCTTGCACACCCCCTACTGGGGATATGCCTGCAACCAAGGTACATGCCCTTGACCAGAATCGAACCCAGGACCTTTCAGTCCCCAAGCCGATGCTCTATCCATTGAGCCAAACCGGTTTCAGCCATAGCGTTATTTTTCAAGGCGGCTGAGAGGACAGGGATGTTGGAAGCCTTGAGCATGGTTAGCACGTGGCACCCTATTTCCTGTAAAACCGGTATCATCGAGGTCATTACTAAGAAACACGCACATTCGCTGTGCTCTGTCCCCCTTTTCCTTGCGACGTGCCCGCCCGGAACCCACGTCTCTGAGTCCCTATCGCTTAAGGTGGAACAAACATCTGAGTGACGGTTCCTGATCTCCCCCAGTCACACTGTCCCCACCACCCAGGTCTCTCTGCTCCCGTCACAGCCAAGGTGGCCAGATGTACTTCAGCTGCCTGGCCGCTAGGTGTCACACTTGCTAAATAGTTAGAAACGGGACTCGGTTTTTCCATGCCGAGGACTCAGAAATCACATTGATTTGTTCTCCTTTTAAATGAGGGCATTTCTTGGGTCACATGATCTCACGCACCTAGGGGAAATAATGAACAACATAAGCTGATGAACAAAAACAGACCCGGAGACAGAGAAGCAGCAATCAGACCGTCAAACCTCAGAGGGAAGGCAAGGGAGCAAGGGGGTAAGGGGGAGAGATCAACCAAAGGACTTGTGTGCGTGCCTATGGGCCTAACCAGTGGTCACAGACAACAGGGGGCTGGGGGCATGCGTGGGGAGGGGTTTGGGATGGCAATGGGGGGGAGGGGTGACGATAATGATGCGATACCATAATCAATAAAGAAATTTAAAAAAAATAAAGTTTTCAGAGACTTTGACACCTCTCTCAGGAGGGTCACATTGCTACGGGGGTAGAATGTTCCTTTATGCAGACGAATATTATGTGAGTTTGTGCCAGTATCAGTGGTTTCATTCAAAGATAAAAAGCGACGGGCAACCATTTATTTTATTTTCAATTTTCTTAAAGTTTTTATTTATTTATTTAATCCTCACCTGAGGATATTTTTCCATTGATTTTTTTTTTTTTTTTTTTTTTAGAGAGAGAGTGGAAGAGGAGAGGAGAGACAGAGAAACATTGATTGGCTGCCTCCCACCTGGGCCGGGAATCGAACCGGGGACCCTTCCGTGCCCCAGGCCGATGCCCAATCCACTGAGCCACACCGGCTAGGGCCAAGGGGGAGGGGGAGAGGGGGAGGCGATGGTTTAAATGGCTCCTCCCCTTTTTTTGTGGGTGCTCTCCGAGCGTTCTCTCTTCTCTCGGCTGTCACGAGAAGTCAAGAGTTTACAAGAGCCACGAGATTCTGCCTCTTTTAATGAAAGATAAAACAACGATATAAACATACACAAATTTACAGGGAAGGAGGAATCTGCTGGAATCCATGGTGGCGGGGGGGGGGGGACACACACACACACGTTGTGAGGTGCTTCGTATTTAAATACGGTATAAAAATAAATGCAGGGACGGGAGGGGGGGCCGCGCACATACGGACAGCAGACGGACGCGGGTGCTTGTTTCTGCGATGACATCGGTGCAAGGAGCCTTCCCGGACAAAGGGGTGTCGTCACGTAAACTCTGTGTGAAGCTGTCGGGCGCCACCGACTGCTTTTCTTCGACAGTTCTTCCAGTTCAGTGACGGATTCCGTCTCCGGGGAACTGCGTGTCTAGCGGAAGCGTTGAGGGAAAGAAAAAGAAAAAGGGGAGGGAGGGGGGAGGGAGGGGAAGAAGAAGGCGCACGTCACTTGAACTTGATAAAAAAAAAAAAAAAAGAAAAGAAAAAAAGGAAAAGACACAGAGCCAGCTGAGGACGTGGAGGGAGGTAGGAGGCCGGCCGCCTTCACGGAGGACGGGAAGGCGTGGCGGTGGCGGAGTCCGGTGGAGATGGCGCTCGAAGGAAGCACGAGGACGCGGGTCCTCTGCTCATGCAACATCTCGGCCCAAGGTCCTCGGCTCCAGGTCACGACGACGACGACGACGACGACGACGAGAGAGCTACAAAGTGTAGGCGGCGGCTCCATCGGTCTGCGTGTCCATGCGACAGGGCGGCGTCCCTTCAGCTGGACTGGACGAGGCTCGTTAACCTCTTGGACGTGAGGGACTTCCCCTGGGGAGAAAAGAGAGACGGGACAACACGGTGCGATCGCTGAGAACCCGCTTGCAGGTGGACGCCGAGCCCTCGCGGCCCGCTTTCGGGTGAACACGGAACCCTCTGGGCACGACTCACGCCCAGACGCCACGACCAGCGCCCCCTCCCAGCGGCACATGGGACACGATGACCCTCCTCCCTCCCCCCCCCCGCCCGCCCCCCCCCCCCCCCCGCCCGCCTCCCCGTTGCAAACAGACGGATGGGTTCACAGCACAGAGAGGCGCAACTCGGAAAACATGTCCATCCACGTCCCATCCAGGCTGAGCGATGGTGCGACACCCAGGGGAGACCCGGTAAGCTGGCCCCCCCTCCCACCGAGAGAGAGAGAGAGCGACCCCCGTGCATGCATTCTTGCTCGGCTGCTGGAGTTAGTGCAGCCGTCGATCCGTATCGAGACGGGCACAGAGGGTGGGTTAATTACGTAAGATGTGCTTTTTTGATGGCGCGATGGGTGGGACGCTCGAGATTCAGCCTGTCCCTCATCCTCTAGTGCAGCGGTCGGCAAACTCACGAGCCCACAGAGCCAAATGTCAATAAGTGCGCTGATGGACGCTTCTTTGGAGAGCCGCATTTTTTAAACGTAAACTCTACAGGCAGGTGCATTGTGATGACCTTAATCAGGGGACTCCTAAGCTGGCCCCTGCTAAAAACTCAGGGGGCCAAAGAGCCGCAAGTGGCTCCCGAGACGCAGTTTGCCGACCACTGCTCTAGAGTAATGGAGAGAAAGGTGCCAATTATACATCTTAAGGAAAGGATCCCTCTGCTCCTTACTTCAAACTTGAGGCGCCTCCCTGTCTTTCCCTACCTCATTTCCTCCAACCCCAACCCCAAGGAAAATCCCTTATATGGTGATTCCACATATTGTGTGAAGGCCTAGAATACATCTTCATTTTGGGGGGGGCACTCTTGCAAGCTAAAGGGCCCCCCGTTAATTACAAGCACTCTGGAGCGGTCTGAAAGTCGTAAGAAAAAAGGTGTACAGACACGAATCCACAGAGGAAGGAGAGAGAAGCTCCATTTGCTTGGTTTGTTTCTGCTGTAAAAATACACAGCAGTCTTTCCCAATCTACAGGCTGCCAAACAGACCCAGGAGGAGAAAAAAAAGGGGGAGGGGTTTCATTTATTTATTTTTCTAAATATATTTTTATTGATTTCAGGGAGGAAGGGAGAGGGAGAGAGGGATAGAAACATCGATGAGAGAAAATCATGGATTGGCTGTCTCCTGCACATCCCCCCACTGAGGATGGAGCCTAAAACCCAGGCATGTGCCCTAACCAGGAATCAAACTCTGACCTCCTGGTTCATAGGTCGATGCTCAACCACTAAGCCATGCCAGCCTGGTGTGGAATATGTAACTTTTCCTGGGAGGAAAAGAGGCATGATAGGGTGAGGGATGGGGGTGACACTGGTCACACCCTAAATTAACTAACTAGAGGCCTGGTGCACGAATTCATGCATGGGTGGGGTCCCCCATTCTGGCCAATAGGGTAGGTTCATTAGAGAAAATGAGAAAAGCATAGAAAAATATTTCAAGAAATAAACATTATATGAAATACAGCTATTTATATACTAATATATATCACCTACTTTTTATAGAAACTATGGTTTGTTAAAAACTGGCATTACACTATGCATAATATGATGACTTATTATGAGTAACATGTATAATACATTAAAATAATTATATGTTGATCCATTAGCCATGCTATCCATGTTTCTTTTCATACAATGTTTTGTTCACATTCATTGCATAGTGTGGGTAAGAAAATCAATTTAGAAAAATGCTAACAACATTCAGAAAATAACTGAATATTATTGATCAGAATATCTCAGACTGCGTTGCACATAACAAGGATAATTTTAGTTCTAAACACATATAGTTTATATATTATAGAATTTAGTTCTATGCAGTACCAATTACGTAGCAGCACACACAAACACGTGTGCATTACTGTGTCAAATGTGCGTGGCAAAAAGTAAAGATGAAAGCCACTACTCTAAAAATCTAGTTTTTAATCGCTGCATAACATTCTACCAGGGAGAGATGCCTGGGTGCATTTAAGAAATTCACAATTGTACATTCGGACTGTGTCTTACGTTTGGCCTTTATAGGATGCAACTGACTTTTGCATGAGTGTGGACACCTGGGTTTCTTAAAATAATTTATAAGAAGTTGAATCACTGCTTGAAAGCGAGAGGTTTTGGAAGGTTTGGTGCATTCTGTAAAGTTTCATTTGAGAAAAGCGATCAGCAATGACCCACGTGGCAATTTCAGAACCGATGATGCTACAGGGGCAGCGGTTCTCAACCTTCCTAATGCCGCCGATGTTCACGTTACGATTCATTCACAGGAGCAAAATTAGTTATGAAGTAGCAAAGGAAATAATGTTAAGGTTGGGGGTCGCCATGACATAAGGAACTGTATTAAAGGGCCGTGGCATGAGAAAGGTTGAGAACCACTGGACCAAGGGGAAATGAAGATCTACTGTCCGACCTACACAGGCTACACAGTCTGGTACATCTCAGAGCAATTGCACCTAAAATTGCTTTCTCAGGCAAGTTATTACCACGAGCCACTTCTGTTTCAATAAAATAATACGGGTAACCATATCTGTCAACAACAAAATGATAAATGGGATGGTTCCCGGTCCCTAAGAGGAGAAGGAGGGGAAAAGACTCGGAATCAGGGATGGTGTTGGAGGAAAGATATCTATTTGGCTTCCCCTTCCCATCTCCCTTAAGTTGCCGTATTCTGTTTAATTCCATTCCATTCTCGTCTTACGGATAATGTTCTGTAGGCATTCTATTCTGAAAGGATGAACTGCAGACAATTCTTATGCAATATACGAAGTACGGTGCCATCTTCTCCGCCAGTATCTTGAGGTGTCTCTTTTCCCTTCCCTTGACATTTTACGTGAAAGGTCAGAGATGGCAACAGATCCCACCAAAAATGGTGGCAAGTTTCTTAATGTGGCTCATTCCCGGGGCCCGGAGTGTCCCAGCCCTTGACTTTGTGCAACCACATCGAATGCTCCCAGCACACACTGCTTTTGACTGTCTTTCCCAATCTCTGCACACGGTCACAACATGCAATTTGTAAACACAGCGGACTGACATTCCTCACCGAAAAGATCTGGGAGAAAACTAGAAGCAAAACCCACATCTCCGTTGAATCCAATTGGCTGACATTTCAACACACACACACACACAACTCCACTGAACTGGCCATCACAGTAGAAGCCACAACACACACACACACACACACACACACACACACACACACACACACACACACAGGTACACACAGCAGCAGCAGCAGCATGGAGGTAACCACACAACTCCACAGACAATGCGGACGGACTGGAGTAGAAACCAAGAGAGTTCTACCTCTTTTCACAACAGGTTAGTGCTGGCCCTCAGTGTTGGAGTACAGTTTTTATGGCATGGGAAAATGGGGAGATTCCTGCCCTACAAAGATAAATGCGTTCAAGGCTTTAGTTTGAGCTCGCGCGAGGTTGGCACATTCCAAAGGCACTGGGCACAACACAAAGAAAAGGAAAGGAGGAGAACCCGCCCCACACACACACCAAAACACAGGGCTAGAGGCTGAGGAAACAGTGGCATAAACACAACTGGCCTCCTGCATGATGTAAGCAACAACTATCAACAGCTTTCCTGAAAAAGGAAGGAGGAGAGGGGCCTGGTGGCCGGCCAAGGAGGGGCCTTAGCGTGTCACCGGCCACCGTTCCTACCCAGTCTTTGGCTGTCAACTGCTTTCTAGGAGATTTTCTCCCTACAGACGTAGAAAGATCAATCAAGATTGTTCTTAATCTTTTCAGCATTACCAAAAGCCAAGGGCAAGATCGTAGAAACCCATGCACTCTCTTTCTTAAAGAAAGGGGTAGCGTGGGCAAAAAGAAAAAAATGTAAGCAAACAACGATTGCTTCATTTGACGTATTATAATATAGGCTTCTTTGCAAACCTCCGTTGGACTGATACATGGAGATGGTCCATAGGAGACATCTTTATCTATCTACCCTGGGAAGGCTGAGACCCAAGAGGAAGGAGAAACCAAGTTCTGGATCTGAATCAAGGTCAGTACCAAGGCTGTTCCATCCAAGTGGGAGACGGGTGAGAAACTGGGGACACAGCTTCATTGGACGTAGGGAAGGGTCGTTCCTCACCAAAGAAGACTTACCACATTCTGCGCAAATTTCTCAAAAGATGTTCTGCGATCCATGGAGGGTTCCGACTTACTCGTGTGGGGTGGGGCAAGGCAAAGGGAAACAGGGAGCGTGAAAAATAAAAATAAAAAGAAAGCAAGAAAACGGAGCAGAAAGAGACAGGAGATGAAATGATAAAACACCAAATCATGACCTAAACCGCAGGGACCAGGAGGGGCCAGAGCTGCCAAGGAAGGCCTCCTTTGATTAACGACTTTATTTTTATTTTCTCATTATTTGTTAAACTATTTTTATTGATATCAGAGAAGAAGGGAGAGGGAGAGAGAAAGAGAGAGAAACATCCATGAGGAGAGAGAATCGTGGATCGGCTGCCTCCTCCTGCACGCCCCACACTGGGGATGGAGCCTGCAACCTGGGCATGTGCCATGACCGGGAATCCAACTGTGACCTCTTGATTCATGGGTTGATGCTCAACCACTGAGCCATGCTGGCCGGGCAATGATTTTATTTTAAACATCAAAACTCCTCTTGTGCAAACAAAATGGTGGGATTTCGTGTAAAATTCAACTGCACTGAAATGAAGAAGATATACTGACCCAGAGACGTGTGTATGCTGATGTTTGCAAAGTCTTAAGTATTTGAAAATCTAGGGGTATTCCTAAAAACTTTCTATCGGGACCAGATTGCTGTAGAGGACTATTCATTTTTTAAAGCACTGCTATCCGGTAGAAATGTCTGAAGTTCATTCTATGCTGTCCAGTATTTCAGAAGCCTTTATCTGTGATCACGGAGTACTTCACATCTGGCTAGAATTCTGTGTAATCTCAATGGACTTCCATTTAAGCTTAAACACGCCTACGTAGCCAGTGGCTGCTGTATTGGATGATCTGTCTACAGAGAGGACTTTGAAAAATCCCATCAGCCTAACGGATGATCCTGAAGTATGAAAAATGACAGTTGTGTCTCAGAAGTTAAAGAAGCTACAAACTCTTTTAATACTAAGAAACAACGAATTGAAGATGTTTATGTCCAGAGAGTCCATATTACGTTACATGGATGAGACAGGGTACTCTTGACAGGAAGACTTTGAAGATAAACATTCATTGAATGAGGTATATTGAAATTCTTCCTTTTGTGGGTGGGTACTATCTTAGATGCATAAAATTCATTGTGGGGATGCTGAATGGTTCAGACTAAATATCAAATAAAAAAATATTCAGGAGACAACATCCCTACATTTTGACAGCTACCGCTGAGAAAAACAATGAGTAGTTTTAGTTATGGGGTATGTGGCTAAAAACATATATTCTAGTTTACTGTGAACAAAGAAAATTTGCTTCATGAAATCATTCTTTTCCTTTATTGCAATTTAAAAAATATATTTTTTTAACTGATTTCAGAGAGAAAGGGAGAGGGAGTGAGAAACATCAATGAGAGAGAATCACTGATAGGCCGCCTCCTGCATGCCCGCTACTGGGGATCGGCAACCAGGGCCTCTGCCCTGACCGGGAATCAAACCCTGACCTCCTGGTTCATAGGTCGATGCTCAACCACTGAGCAACATGGCCGGGCTATTGCAATGTTTTATTTCCTTGAACTAGGCATATAAAAGACTAACATGAACCATGAAAAACAGCTTCAAAAAAAAAACAAAAACTTTGTAAAGCAAGAACAACTACAGAAACAAAACAAAACAAAAAAAGAAAATAAGCAATCAACGAACAGAAGCCAAGAGAACTTAAATGGCTCTCGTGAAAGGCAGAGGTTTGGGGAGGGTCTCGGGGTGTGTTCACTTACCCTCTGTCCACTTCCTCGGGGCCCCACGAAGGCCACTAGTCCAACGAATTACAACCGAGAACCCGATTTTAAGAGGTCGCAAAGAACAGGTACCTTTTTCTTCGCCTGTAGAAGCTCCTGGTAGGCACTGGATCGTATAAAACGTGGGTATGAATCGCTTTTCATCAGTTTGTAAATGTGCTCCTGGAAAGAAATAACGGTCAGGGCGCGGCTTCGTCACTTTTCAGGGGAAACCTAGCGCCGTGATCAGAGGACAACAGATTGTCGGAAAACCTACCAGGAAGCAGCTAGAAACAAAGCAGGACTCTGCTGCTGAGAATACCTTCTGTTGACAGAACAGGCAGACCCTCAAGTTCATTATGTCGTTCATCAATCCATTTTAAAACTGGTTGAGGGGCTACGCAGAATGTAAATCACACCCAGCCCCCCTCCCCTTTTTTTTTTAAGAAAAAAAAAAAATGGAGTTTCGTTAACAGAATGTCCTAAAATGATACTAAATCAAGTTGTTGGTTCCCATGGATTATTGGGGAATTTAAATCAATCTGCTGGTGCTTCAAACTACGCCAGGTTGAGATGTAGCGTTTTGAACCCTTTTGAATCCAGCGTGTCTGGATGTCCCAATCTCTTCTTATTTGGAGAAAATATGTAATTTTTTAAAATATATATATATATTATTGATTTTTTACAGAGAGGGAGGGAAAAGGATAGAGAGTTTGAAACATCCATCAGCTGCCTCCTGCACACCCTCCACTGGGGATGTGCCCAAAACCAAGGTACATGCCCTTGACCGGAATGGAACTTGTACCTTGGTTGTGGGCACATCCCCAGTGGGGGGTGTGCAGGAGGCAGCTGATGGATGTTTCAAACTCTCTATCCTTCCTCTCTGTAAAAAAATCAGTAATATATATATATATATATATATATATATTTTAAAAAATTATATATTTTCTCCAAATAAGAAGAGATTGGGACATCCAGATAATCTCAGGCAGCTGATGGATGCTTCTCTCTCATCGATGCTTCTAGCTCTCTCTCCCTCTCCCTTCCTCTCTGCAAAAAAAACCCATTAAAATACATTAAAACAAAACCAGAAACAAATGTTCCTATAAAACCACACACATTGACAGAACACTCCCAGGCTTTTCAATACAGCTCACTCTCAAGGGCCTCCGTTCCCTCCTAGATCAATGGGAGTATGTGACACACAGTGGCCTACACTGGAGGGTCAGACACGGCTGCCAATGACAAGAAAAACAAAACACAAGTACCTCCACCCCCCAGCTCCATGGGAGCATGCGTGGGACACACCCCGAGGCCCACCGGGCACCCACCTGAGCGTCCTCGAACGTGTACCGCCCTGGCTCCTTCACGTTCTGCGTGGTCTTGTCGTAGCTCTTCGAGTCCAAGTTGATGGCGCTGGGGGCTCCCGGAGCCAGGAACTCCTGCCATATCTCCTGGACCCGCGAGGGGACTTCCCTAATGGGCCTCTTCTTCAAGTCCTCCACTGCCAGCCAGAACCTGCAGGGGGCGCGACACCGAGCGTTCAAATAGGTGGGGGTGATGTCTACAACAGAGGGGTGGGACGTTGGTCCCTCTCTCACCAGCAGCTTAGTGGGGCTCAGCTTTCAATGCGCAAAGAAAAGAGTTGCCCCCACAGTTTCATCTCAAGTTATCCCCCCACCCCTTTGGGTTGATTTTTTTAAATTGACTTCAGAGAGGAAGGGGGAGAGGGAGAAGGAGAGGGAAAGGGAGAGGGAGAGAGAGAGGGAGAGGGAAAGAGAGAAAAGGAAGAGGGAGAGGGAGAGGGGGAGAGGGAGGAGGAGAGAGAGGGAGAGTGAGAGAAACATCAATGATGAGAGAGAATCACTGATCGGCTGCCTCCTGCACGCCCCCTAGTGGGGATGATGCCCGCAATCTGGGCACATGCCCTTGACCTGAATCAAACCCGGAACCCTTCAATCTGCAGGCCTACGCCCTATCCACTGAGCCAAACTAGCTAGGGCTCAAGTTATTTGACACAAATACCCGATCTCTTTTTTTTTGTAGACCTTCCTTGAGAAACCATATGCCAGGAAGACCACTATTCATAAATAGTCGACATTTTCATTTCACTACAGAAATACTACTGGCCATTTTCCACTTTGCCAAATGCTTCTTTAAGGAGTCCATTTCAAATGCACAACACGCATACCGTAAAAAGACAGGGTAAAAAATATGCCACCACGAGGGACTGGTCATGTTGGACAGACTTTGCCTTATTTTATCTTTTTTTTTCTTTTTCTTTTTCTTCTTCCTCCATCAAGTGGCAGGAATTCCGTGGGCTCCGGTCATGCCCATGATGGTGGTGGGAGAGTCGCTGACCCGTTACATCCTACACAACCGGGCCCGGTACAGGCGGTACCTCTGGCTTACGGCCAGAGGTAAACCACTGTCGGAAAACCACGTCTTACCTTAAGTTTTCGGAGCTGAATTCTGACTCTAGAAACTTAAGAAACTGCTCTCTCCCCACGGGGTCTTTCAACGCTTCGTCCATGCCGAACCCCCAGCGCTTGACCCTCTGCTGGCTCGGTTCTTTGCTGGAGGAGACAAAAACCAAGCCCAACACATTCCTCTCGGTACCAGCCCTGTTTTCTGCCGTGACACGTTTCCTCTCAGAACCATAGATGTCTTGGCATTCCCGTCTTTAACTGAACTTTTCGGGGGAGGAAAAAAATATCTTAGGACAATGACTCTGAATGACATGGCCGTGAGGTGGACGCTTCTAGGCATCCATGATGAAGTCTGGGGTCCGTGCAAGAAACCAGGGAGTCCCTAAGTGGTGCTTTGGCTTTCTGAAGAGCCTGTCTCGTGCCGATTTCTCTTAGAGGAAGGTCCTTTTAGTTTTAAAATTGAATGTATACAGGCATCTACACTAATAAAAGAGGGAGATGCAAATTGACCGTACCTTCGTGACGACCACCGGCCAATCAGGAGCGAGCATGCAAATTAACCCAACAAAGACGGTGGGTTAAATTGCATACACAGGCGCCAAGCAGCTGGGGACGGGGTGTCTGGGCAGCATGGGAAGGTGGGAAGGCTGCTGTGGGCTGTAGCAAAGGCGGCGCCGGCAGCCAGCCATTCATGCACAAATCTTCGTGCATCCGGCCTCTAGTATAATTATACTGGGCTTAAGTAAATATGGATTTAGCATTCATTTTTTACTTGAACACATGGGCCTTTGTGACTACGTGGTTTTTTTTCAGGTAGCTAAGACAATAAGCTAAAGAACCGAAGACCCCAATTCTGACTGGTTTACCTCTATTCTGCCCTAGTCTTTTGGAAATGCAAGTTCAAATATCTAAGGTTCAAAACCAGTACCTTTATAATAAGAGCTTTATACCCTGGGCTCATGGAGACACAGAGTAAAACTACGGCGACCACTACCCAGCTATGGGATTCTTCCCATTGAACCCAAACCCAGAAATAAGCAAAGTATTTCGAGGGAAGAGAAAAAGGCACTTACCTTGCTTCAAGTTCCCAGAAAGTAGTATCATCGGACAGCCATGGGTTGGAAGGGTCGGGCGGCACAAAAAATGGGTCATAGTCTAAATACTGCTCCGTGTAACTCAGCAGACTGGAGGGAAGAGACAAATTCGCCTCCCTTAGCTGCTGTCTGGCTGAGGCTGTAGCCAGCCCAGAGTTAGGGACGCTATGAAAATGTGTGGCCAAGGGATGCTTGCTGCTTTCCAGCGTGAACCCCGATGGCCGTTTTGCCATTTCTATAAACTTACACACACTCCCTGACAGTGCTTCTCGGAGGACCAGTGGGGCCCAGGATTCCATCTCTCCCCATACCTACGCCCTGGGAGTTAGTATCCCTTTATTACAATAAACTAAACGCAAGAGGTCAGTGTGTGAGGGCCAGGGCTAAGCTCAACTCCGATCCCTGGTAGACCAGTCCGCCTGCAGCCAAACTGATGTTAGCCAACGTGGAAAAGAGGTTAAAAAATAATTCTTGCTGAAATCGGTGTGGCTCAGTGGATAGAGTGTCAGCCTGCAGACTGAAAGGTCCCAGGTTCGATTCCGGTCAAGGGCATGGACCTTGGTTGCGGGCACATCCCCAGTAGGGGGTGTGCAGGAGGCAGCTGATCGATGATTCTCTCTCATTGATGTTCCTAACTCTCTCTCTCCCTTTCCCTTCCTCTCTGTAAAAAAATCAATAAAATACTTTTTTTTTTTTTTAAAGAGAGAAAAAGTAATTCTTTTTCTAAAGTATGTATAGGAATTAGGTAAAAGAGGAGTGACTTGCTGAGCAAAAACTTTTTAAAATTCGTGTTTAAAAATAAAGATAAGGAGAGGGGAAAAGTTGAAGAGGTAGGATCTGACAGTGCCTCAAAGTGCAGGACATGGATGCTCTCAAGATCAGATTTAAATAAAGAAATGGGGGAAATGTACGATCTGAGGTTAATCCCAGTTTCGGAGTTCTGCGGTAACTCAGTGTGAATTGAAAGGAAGGCCAACTTCGGAAGCTGAAAGGTTTATTTCTCCCAGCGGGAGGGAGAAGATTCAGGGCCTTGGAATTATCTTCTGTGTCTGACTCTGGTTGCACCAGGACTGGACCTCTCGGGTTGTAAGACCATAAGGGACATTCTGTAATTAATTTAAAATGCAAAGACAGCCCGGCTGGTGTGGCTCAGTGGTTGAGCATCAACCTATAAACCAGGAGGTCAGGGTTCGATTCCCAGTCAGGGCACAGGTCCAGGTTGCGGGCTCCATCCCCAGTAGGGGGCGTGCAGGAGGCAGCTGATCCATGATTCTCTCGCATCATTGATGCTTTCCTCTCCCTCTCCCTTCCTCTCTGAAATCCATAAAAATATTTTAAAAATAAATGAGGAAAAACAAAATAACATTCATTACAGGGTCCCAATCACTTATCTCAGCTCCCTGTCCAACAGTTCTTGTAGCATTTTTATCAGATTTCTCTGTCAGATAAAAGTGTAAGTGCATGTGGACATCTCCAAATACTCACCTATCCGCGACTTTTGACATTTTTAACCGATGTCTGTCTAACTGTATTTGCCAATAGTTTATCTGAAAACAGAGTTAAAGAAATAGTTATATAAGCAGTGAGATTCTCACAATTTTCAGCTCTAATTGCTGATAAGCTGGGAGATTCCAAACTAGAATATATTCTACATCAGTAAAAATCCAAAGTCTGTTTAAAAAAATCAAATGATGCCCTAGATGGTTTGGCTCAGTGGATGGAGCATCAGCCTGCAGACTGAAAGGTCTTAGGTTCGATTCTGGTCAAGGGCACAGGCCCGGGTTGCTGGCTTGATCCCCATCCAGTAGGCGGTGTGCAGGAGGCAGCTGATCCATGATTCTCTCTCATCATGGATGTTTCTCTTTCTCTCTCCTTCTCCCTTCTTCTCTCTGAAATCAATAAAAACATATAAAATTTTTATCTGAATTACTTTTTCCTTCATGAGGATTGTAAATATACTAGAAAAATGTATTATATTATTGATAAATCATATTACAATTAAAGATAAGAAAAAAAAAGAATAAAAAAAGGGGAAAAGCCCCATGGCTGAATGAACCAAGAGGTTAGTTATTATTTGACAGGAGACACTGGCGATTGCTTTGCAATATTCCTCGGAGACAAAACTACTGATCAATTGGTAAAGCAAGATGTGGTATATACCATGACCTTACACCAGCGTTGATAAGGGAAAACATCAAGAGGCGCCTAGATATAGAGACCAGACTGTAGACACTGAGGAAATCATGTCACATGACTGGACATGGGAAAGCCATGGCCATGTGGCCAACCTCTTGTCTTCTCGTTCTGTAAGACCCAGTGATGGAACCCACAATAAATTAGTGCGTGTGGCTTTAAAAAAAAATGGGTAGACGCCAAAACCAGTTTGGTTCAGTGGATAGAGCGTCTGCCTGCGGACTAAAAGCTCCCAGGTTCAATTCCGGTCAAGAGCATGTATCTTGGTTGTGGGCACATCCCCAGTAGGAGGTGTGCAGGAAGGAGGCAGCTGATCAATGTTTCTCTCTCATCAATGTTTCTAGCTCTCTATCCCTCTCCCTTCCTCTCTGTAAAAAAAATCAATTAAATATATATATTTTTAAAAATTGGGTAGAGAATGAAGGACTTGGGGAATTACATATTGAGGAGTGTTGACTATGTATCTTATAGTGAGACAATTTCGTTACCTTTTTAACTGGAAATTCTTCTCTACGAAACAGTCAACCCTACACGTAAGCGTTTACAACACCTGCTATTAACCGTTCACTGTCCGGTTCTCCCAGCGGCCGCTCTGCACATGGTGAAAGGGCCATTCTCCAGGTGAGACCCACCTGCTCCTGTAGCTCGTCTTCTGTGGGAGGTTTCGTTTCTGGCGTGGGTGTGTGGGTGGGACTGTGACTTCGAATATCGTTTTGTAAACCATAGACAGACTATATGAAATAAATAAAAAGAAAGAAAGAAATGGGTTAGGCCAGGGGTCGGCAAACACATCCATCCACAGAGCCAAATGTCAACAGCACAACGATGGACATGGCTCTGGAGAGCCACATGTTTTAAACGTGAACTTCTTCTAACGCCACGTCTTCCACACAGACTCAGGATGGGGGTCCTACCTTGCGGGTTTTGTGTGGGTTTCGCATCCGGGACGACTTCTTGATGTCCACCTCCGTGGTGTTGACACAGCCAGGCTGCGGGTGGGGTCGGAGAGAAGGAGGAACCTTGAACCTTTGATCTGGGGTGAATGGCTTGCTTTCCCCGACCCCAAAAAAGACCCCGATGGCCGGCCCCGATGGCCACTCTTCCTAAAAGTCTATCGGCTGTGTTGGTGACAACATCAGTTAGGTATATATACATATTTAAAAATACACATATTTTTATTGATTTCAGAGAAGAAGGGAGAGGGAGAAAGAAAGAGAGAGAAACATCAAGGAGGAGAGAGAATCATGGATCAGCTGCCTCCTGCACGCCCCCTGTTGGGGATGGAGCCTGCAACCTGGGCATGTGCCCTGACCGGGAATCGAACCGGTGACCTCTTGGTTTTTGAGTCGATGCTCAGCCGCTGAGCCACACCCGGCCAGGCAAAAAAAAAAAAAAAAAAAAAGGCAATTATCTTTTTGAAGCATATATATATAGTATGCACCAAATCACGTGAGATGTTATACATACGCCAGTGTCCGACATGGCTGAACATATGATATCTTCCCAGTAAGATACCGATAGCATTTCCATGACCAAGTAGGCACTTAATAAAAACGTCCCCTTACGGACTATTTGCCAGGTAGAATATTAAGTGCGTAATACTGGATGTAAGGAATCACAGGTGGCATTTACATTGGCCCAGGAAAGAATCGTAAGTTATTCCTAGCGGCTTAAAGGCGCGTTTATCTTCCACAGAATTAAGCTGTGCGGTGGCATTACTTTAATACTATTTATTAAAAGGCAGAATTGAGTGAATTCCCGGCGGAGCAAAATGTGCATGTTCCTGAGAAATAGTACTGCCGCCTTGTTCATGGAGATGCCTTAATGGGCTGTGAAACAGACGCGGGAATTTTTTTGGTTTTATTGCTGATATTTTATTTAAGGGAATGCAAATACATGAATTCCTTTCCTGGCGTTAAGGCGTTTTTGCTCACTGCAGCAGGAGGCGTTTGACTGACGTGGGATAGCAAGACGCTTCAGAAGAGCAGGGCTCTGAGTCAGTAACGGAGAGCAAGTCTCCTTCAGATCAATCTCTCCCACATTGATGTTCCTCTCCCTCTCTCCCTCACCCTTCCTTCCTCCCTCCCACTCTCTCTCTAAAAAAAAAAAAAAGAGAGAGAGAGAGATCCGGCCCATCTTCCAGTCCCGATCACCTAGACCCCAGCAGCGAGCTAACCTAACGGTCGGAGCATCTGCCCCCCGGTGGTCAGTGCATGCCATAGCTACCAGTCGACCGGTCGAATGGTCGCTTACCGTAGGCTTTTATATATATAGATTCTGCATCACTGAACCCCGGTCACCTTACACAAAAGTGGCAACCTTTCCTTAACTCATTTGCCAAGACTTTGACGGGGTCACAATAGTCTTCTCTCCCTTTCCCCGGGGGGCGCCCCTCACGTTCCGAAAGGCGGAGGCGACACACAGGCTTACCACAGGGCGGTGTACATCCCAGAACGCCCGCTCTTGGCTGTCGAGGATCTTCCTCTCGATCTTGTCCCTCTTCTTGTCCACTCTGTCAACAGCGGAACAAAGAGCCGTCAGGAGAGCTCACCGCGGCGCCGCCTCTCCGAGCCAAGGGGCCTCGGCCGGGACGGAGCTCCCGAGAGACTCACAAGGACTCACTTTGCCTGCGCCTCGGCCTGCATGAAGATGAACTCCCACTTTCGGGCGAAGGCTCTCTGCAGCCGGGCCAGGCTCTCCTGCAAGGCACGGCAGAGGTGAAGACGTCCCGCGGCTCCCTTCCCCTCTCCCCTCCCAGTTCACCCGCCACATGGATCCGTCCAGGAGAGAAAGACAGCCCGGCCGGTGTGGCCCAGTGGTTGGGCATCGACCCAAGAACCAGGAGGTCATGGTTCCATTCCCGGTCAGGGCACAGGCCTGGATGTCGGGTTGGATCCCCTGTAGGGGATCCTCTGAGAATCTGACCCTCACTACCCATGCAGGGGGAAGGCTGCCAGAGGCCCGGAGTGACCGTGAGCCTCACTCCTGCTCGTTTCAGGGCTCCCGTGGGGAGAAGGTCCCTGGTACTCACAGCCTCGTAGTCGGCGAGCTCCAGCCGGGCCTTGTTCTGCATCGTCCTCTTGCAGAGGTACACCGCTGGAGGGAAACAAACCAAACATCCATCATCTCTTGCCAAAACCGGTGCGGCTCAGTGGATAGAGCACCAGCCTGCAGACTGAAGGGTCCCAGGTTCCATTCCGGTCAAAGGCATGGACCTTGGTTGCGGGCACATCCCCAGTGGGGGGTGTGCAAGAGGCAGCTGATGGATGTTTCTCTCTCATCGATGTTTCTAGCTCTCTATCCCTCTCCCTTCCTCTCTGTAAAAAATCAATAAAATATATATTTAAAAAAAAAATCCATCATCTCCTGCCTGCTTATTCACACTGAGGCACCGGCAATGAAAACACAGCCTTACGCATCAAGACGTCTTTGTCACCTTTTTTTAAAAAAAAATATGTATATTTCTCTCTCTCTATCCCTCTCCCTTCCTCTCTCTCTAAAATCAATACAAATATATCTTTAAAAAAAAATCACTCCAGCTTATATGAGGCACATGGATTGTTAAAAATAATAAATAAATAAAATAAAAAGAGGGGGTAACACAACTTTAAAGAAAATACTAATACAATAGAAAGCCGCACAGCACAGCCACTCTCATGCTGGTGGCTAAAATGCATTCTGTTTTTTGCTCCAAATTAATGAGCCTGCTTCCTGTTATGATCTAAACAGAGTGCAAGCTGATACGACTCACGTGGCGATTTTGAAGGCTGGGCACAGAACATCCCCAGGTGACAGCCAATCTGAAAACAGCTCTGGGTCTGCCGGATGGTGACCCCAATACCTAACCTACATCAGAGGGGACGGTGGGACCCGGGGAGGCAGCCAGGAGAGTGGGGGGGGGGGACCACCCACTGATTTTATTTATTTATTTTTAAAATGTATTTTTATTGATTTCAGAGAGAGGAAGGGAGAGGGAGAAAGAGAAACATCCGTGATGAGAGAGAATCATGGACCGGCTGCCTCCTGCACGGCCCCCACAAACCCAAGAAAAAGGAACAACGGGTAGAAGTCAGAGTTCCCACAGACCAACAGCGGGGGAATCGTTCTCACATCAGCCAGCGAATGCCTGCTCCTGGTTAGGTGAGCTAACGGCAGGGTCCTGAGAAATGAGAATTTTAATGTTTTTTTTTTTGTTTTCAGATTTCACAGGGCGGCTGTGAACATGAAGGAAACACTCCACATCAAGCCTTTTGGCAAAGACGACGCATTGTGCAAAGGCAGGCACAGGGGACAGATGGTCAGCTCTTCTGTCGGGGCTGATTACAAAGCCGTTACTTCAGAGCCAGAAGGACATGTGACTGCATTGAGGGCCCCGGACAGCGTCCTGCCACGCGGACTAAGCCGGTCCGAGGAAGATAAGCATGGCAGGACCTCGCTCACCGGCGGAGGCTAATGAACAAAATGAACCGATGGACAAAACAGATCCAGAGGCAGGGACACCTGGAACAGACGGACGGATCTCAGAGGGAAGAGGGGGGTGGGGGACAGGGAGTGGCTATAATTTTCGGGGGAGGGCTCTGCCCTCCAAGCTGGGGCTTGCTCGAGGCCATGAGAGGACTGTGCCCTCTCATTAGCCCGAGGCTTGCACCTGTCCAAACACTGTAGCCACTCTCCACAAGCTGGGCCGAGAAATCCTAGATCCTCCTGCAACCTAAGCAGCGACATTGTCGTCCAGCTGGTAAAATACACGTAAAACAGAATTATGGCCCGGCCGGCGTGGCTCAGTGGGTTGAGCATCGACCTAGGAACCAGGAGGTCACGGTTCGTTTCCTGGTCAAGGTACAGGCCCAGGTTGCAGGCTCCATCCCCAGTGAGGGGCGTACAGGAGGCAGCCGATCCATGATTCTCTCTCCCCACGGATGTTTTCAGTTCTCTCTCCCTCTCGTTCTCCCTCCCTGAAATCAATAAGAATATAGATTTTTAAAACAGAAGGATGTTTGGGAAGGCTTTGCAAGCTCTGCCTCTTGCTCCCCTCCCCAGGGCATCAGCCGGAGGCACAATCCTGGAACCCGGGCGAATAGCACAGTGACCTGTGAGCACAGTGTGTTATCACAGGGACTCTCATCACAGCAGCTGGGAGCTGGCCAAAGCTTTGCAGAGAAGCCAGAAAGCAGCAGCGGGAGACGCCGCAGGCTCAGGAAAACATTTGTTGGCTTAACCAGAAGCTTCGTTAACGAGAACCCAACAACCTCGAGATTAACACGAAAACACAGCCCAGGTCATCATGGAATGTACAGCCTGCCAGAATCTGTCCCAAGACAATGACGGAAACACAACGGCCCAGCACATTCGGTCTACGTAACAGCCGGAGAATCAGTGCCATCAGCCCGGCCTGCGTGGCTCAGTGGTTGAGCATCAAACTAGGAACCAGGAGGTCACAGTTCGATTCCCGGTCAGGGCACACACCCTGGTTGCAGGGTTCCATCCCCAGTGTAGGGTGATGCAGGAGGCAGCCGATCTGTGGTTCTCTCTCATCATGGATGTTTCTATCTCTTTCTCTCCCTCTCTGAAATCAATCCTTATATATAAAAGCCTAAGTGACCGTCCACCATCCAACCAGTAGCTATGAAGCGCAATGACCAGCAGGGGGCAGATGCTCAGTGCAAGAGCTGCCAAGTGACAGCAACTTTGCAGAGCGCCCTCTTGCATTCCAGATCCCCTCGGGGGATGTCAGACTGCCAATTTCAGCCCAGTTCCCGCAGGCCAGGCTGAGGGGCCCACTGCTGGAGGGACCCCGCTCACCCTGCAGATGCCCTCTGACCCCCAGCACTGCCCGAAGTGTGGTCAGTGGGGGAGTGACTGCAGGACGCTGGCTCCAGGGCGTGTCTGGTCCATCTCACCCAATCCTGCCCTGCCAGACTCCTTTCTAATTAAGTTCCTTTCCATGTGCATGCATCCGTGCACCGGGCCTCTAGTAAAAATATATTTTTTAAAAATAGTGAGAAAAATGAAGCCTTAAGGAAGTCAATGGGCTTACCATAATTCCACTCCCTTGGAGAGGGGAGCTAGAATGCTGACCCTTTGAGCCCCTCTGAAATAACAACTCTTTGTAATAATAACTATTTCCGTGTGCGATGGGAAAATAACAATAGCCTTTCTTTAAAGCTTGTTTATCGGCCTTGCACCCCTTCAGGAGAAAATCTATTTTTTCTTTCGCAGCCTCCGCGGACACTATCCCTCGGGAAGAGCTGCCCCCGGGTTTGGTATAACTTTCCAAAAGCCACAGCCATTCGCCCATCCTGTGTAAGCGACACGAGTCCCGAGAACAGCCGTGTTCTTTTCTCCACCCCGAAAGCAATGAACACGCAAGCACACACGTGCACACGGCCACACGGCTGCCCCGAAGACCACGGGATAGATAGTGCACTGACCGTAGTCCGTGTTTTCCGGCTCCCAGCAATTGGATGGCCAAAAGTAGGGCGTCTGTGGGAGGAAAAGAAGCGGAAAACCCAGGTCAGACATGGCAATAAGGACCAGAGCGGTGTGTCTATTGAGCAATTCTCCGAGATTCTAGAAGAGTCCAGGGAAAATCTGTTTGTGATCCAGAGAGGCGACGGAAGGTTCTTCTCCCACGTGTACTCTGCTGAGCAATGATTCCGCCCCCCAAGATATCCCACATGGGCTGCCATTGTATGTCAACGGACATACAACGTTGGAGTCCACCAAGACGGAGAGCAGAGGGTGACAGTCAAGTTGGCATGACTTGGGATAAAACATGTTTAAAAATAACCAATTGTCACCAAAACCAGTTTGGCTCAGAGGATAGAGCATCGGCCTGCGGACTGGAGGGTCCCAGGTTCGAATCTGGTCAAGGGCATGTACCTGGGTTGCAGGCACATCTCCAGTGGGGAGTGTGAGGGAGGCAGCTAATGGATGATTCTCTCTCATTGATGTTTCTAACTCTCTATCCCTCTCTCTTCCTCTCTGTGAAAAATCAATAAAATATATTTTTTAAAAAGTAACCAATTGTCTTCTATGACTCATATACCTCAACACGGCCATCGGTCGAACCCAAGCTCAACCTTGAGTCAAACTCTCTCCCTCTGCAGTCAGGCCATCATTGGCCTTGGTTTTATTCAATATGTACTACAGCTCTTTACTGTATCCAACAGAATGAAAAAAAATGTCCCCCTCACTCACTTTAAAAAAACATTTCTTCATATAGACACGGATTGCTCTAATTTTTTAAACTGCACCAACCAGGGGTCATATTTTTAACTTATAACACCCTAGTTGATGGATAGGATTGACAACAGATGGAAGTCTGATTCTGTGAAGTTCTAGAAACAAACTGACGAAACTACCAAGACGATGTCTGATCCGAAGGGCCCTCTTGTCATGGTCCACACCTTATATTTTCTAAAAGGGCTTTTCCAGCTCTGCCAGCTGGACATGCCTGGCTCCGGATCACAAGGAAAATCAATGGCCACCTGTTTATCGAATTGTCTTCTCGGAGGATGGTGACCCAACGAAACAGCGACTGCAGACATGGGCCTGTGGTCTTATTTATTAGTCAACCAGAGGCCCGGTGCACATATTCGTGCACCGGTGGGGTCCCTTGGCCTGGCCTGTGGGGATGGGGCCGAAACAGGCTCTCTGACATCCCCTGAGAGGTCTCGGATAGCGAGAGGGCACAGGCCAGGCTAAGGAATTCCACCAGCGCACGATGGAGCCGGGGAGGGGCCGTGGGAGAGCTCCAGGGCATGTCTGGCCCATCTCGCCCAGTCCCCATCAGCCGGACCCCAGCAGCAAGCTAACCTACTGGTTGGAGCACCTGCCCCCTGGTGGTCAGTGCATGTCATAGCAACTGGTCGAATGATTGAACACTTAAGCACATTAGATTTTTCTGATGTAGGATTATAATAACTACCCATGTGTAACCAGCACATGTGTGTCATCTCTGATTGCCTATCTGATAATTCTACCTTCTAGAAGAGGCATCCCCAGGAGGGAAGTAATGAAAATTTTGCTTTCATTATTCCCTTCGGATTGTCTCTTTGTTTTGGGAGGTGTGTGTGTGTGTATGTGTGTACGCACACAATAGCTATTCAACTTTTAAAGTACTTATTCTAGCTAGGTTGTTCAGATATATCCTTTCATTTCTTTCAAACCACAAGGTCTTCTTGCTGCATTCTTACCATTTTTCTTTCTTCTTTTATCATTGAGTAAGAATTTCCTGGATGTAAAAAATAAAAGAACGAAACTGTATTCTCTACTATTATGTGGAAATGTCATTAAAGCAGCATTCTTCACTAATACTGTAAGAATTTTCCTAGAAAAAAAATTTTTTATTTATAGTAAAAGGCAATTTAAAATCCTTGTCGCTTGCTAGAATTTTAAAAATATGCTTTTACAGTCTGCATAGACATTAGGACCTTTTAATGTGTGAGTGCTGGCTTCTTTAGCTATGATAAAAAGCAATCCAAAACTGTCCAGCCATTTCTTAATCATCGCTGGCACATTGTTAATGCAGTGACAGTCATACAAGAGGCCAGGAAAATGATGTCAGATGTCAATTCCAATTAGCGATGAGATGGAAATTGGACAACTACAAGTTTACATTAATACAAAAGGACATGATTAAAAAATGTACTGAAAATTGAGACAGATTTACATATTGTTGCATGCCAGTGAAATGAAGGGTTCTGTTTCCCTCAAACTCATGCCCTGAAGCGTTTGTCTTGAGATGAGTGATGGTTAGAATCTCAATTTGTTCAGCGGAACAACTGCAAACATGAGATGACAAGTTTCCCATGTTAATTTGTAGTCTTTAAAATCCTTTCACGGAGCTGAGTTTCAGTTCAATGTCATATAGAGCCTTCTGCTTCCTGGAGCCAATCCCCCAACATGGCAGTGAACACCTGGACTGACCAATATCTTGGCAGATATTATAGTAGAGATTCAGCTTTTCCTGGCTCTTCTGTCCTTTCTGATTTTTCAAAATCTTGGTTTTAAGATTCGATGATTATTAGATTTACAAATATTTAGGTCCTATTTCTAATGTGGGTGACAATTAAAATTGTTACCATTTTATATGTAATACTAAAGGATTTGGTGCACAAATTTGTGCACAGGTGGGATTCCTTGGCCTGGCCGGTGATTGGGGCTGATCGGGGCTGGCAGGCCAGGGGGAAGGACCACGGGAGGTTGGCCAGCAGGGGGATGTTGGCTGTAGGAGCACACTGACCACCAGGGGGCAGCTCCTGGATTGAGCATCTGCCCCCTGGTGGTCAGTGCACATCATAGCGACTGGTTATTCGGTCGTTCGGCTGCTTAGGCTTTTCTATAGAGAGATAACTTTAGTCATCAGAGAATTTAGCTTTCACAAACCATCTACACTAAGCATAAGCCATCTCTCTTTGTTTCATAGTCTTATGTCTTAAATTTAACAGATTGTTACTAACGAGCCTAAGTCAAATGACTTACAATTTTCAAATATTCTGTCAAAATAAGATGCCTGTCTCACTGCTAAAGAAAATTTTCACTAAACTTACCTGAAACCGGTAAAAGGTGCCGTCATCCTTGAGGGTGAGGACATGATCTGAGATTGGGAAGAAGTAGCCATGGGCAGCCATCAGCGTCCCCAAATGGAGGGCCTCCACTGTTTCACGAAAACACAAAAACGCACGGAGACCTTTTTAAAATTACGGGATGTCAGGAAGAATTCCTCACACACATAGGAATGTGTCCCCGGACCCTGGAAACCAGGTTATTGCTGCAGCCTAGACACAGTGCCCGCCACAGAGAATGGATTCTCGGTTTAAATAAGAGCATTAAAGAGGATCATGTGGGCCAAACCCGGTTTAGCTCAGTGGGTAGAGCATCGGCCTGCGAACTGAAGGGTCCCAGGTTTGATTCCGGTCAAGGGCATGTACCCTGGTTGCGGGCACGTCCCTGGTGGGGGGGGGGGTGTGTGTGTGCAGGAGGCAGCTGGTGGATGTTTCTCTCTCATCGATGTTTCTAGCTCTCAATCCTCTCTCTTCCTCTCTGTAAAAAAATCAATAAAATATATATTTTTTTAAAAAGAGGATCATGGGGCATGACGAAAGGTAACCACGTGCTCAGACCTCATGCCACAATGGAGTGACAGCAAATTAAAATGAGTGAGATTCACTTTTATGAGTCTTACGAAGAGGAATGTCATGACCTCCTGATCATGTGACGCAAATTCCATGTTCACTAGCTGGTGAACATGCACACAGTCCCTCCCTGCTAACCATCGCCAGCCCGCCCAAACCAAGTTTTATAAAATGGAGTATCAAACATGTTTAAAAAAAATGGTAAACATAGACTAACTAAATTTTAGATGACTATAGGTTGACTACCATCACATTTGCATCAAGGCTACCATCCTAGTGAATGTAATGATAAATCTTTCAGGTTTGCTTGCTTGTCAGGTTAGAAACGTATTTTTTTAAAGCATGAGAAGAGTTTAATGAGTGGGAAAATGGTTTATTTACCTGGATCTTCTATCATCAGGTTCTTTATTAACCACTGAACAATGTCTGACCCTAGAAGAAAGAAAAACACAAATATAGGTGAACATCAGTCTCTATATATTAAGAATCCTTAACTTCTGGCACTCGTACTAGTACACAGGAGAGATGACGAAGAAGCTGCAGGAAATGTTAGCTGTGAGGTACATTTTGATCTGTGAACCAGACAGAGATGTAGCTGCTGGAGGGGCATGTGTCAGAGTTCAAAGGTGAAGAACCATCGATAAAAGCCATCCACTGCACACTCTGCACACTGGGCGAATCACAGGAACATGGAACTGGTACGTGCCCATACTGCAACCAGCTGGTCTTAAATTCTAGGCTAAAGAATCTGGATTATTATTATTATTATTTAATATATTTTATTGATTTTCTACAGAGAGGAAGGGAGAAGGATAGAGCCAGAAACATCGATGAGAGAGAATCATCCATCAGCCGCCTCTTGCACAGCCCCTACTGGGGATGTGCCCGCAACCAAGGCACATGCCCTTGACCGGAATCCAACCCGGAACCTTCCAGTCCGCAGACCGACGCTCTACCCCTGAGCCACACCGGTCTCGGCAAGAATTTGGATGATTTTATTAATAGTCTTATTTTTATTTTTTAAATATAATTTTATTATTTCAGAAAGGAAAGGAGAAGGGGAGGTAGAAACATCCATGATGAGAGAGAATCACTGATCAGCTGCCTCCTGCATGCGTCCTACTGGGGATGGAGCCCGCAACCCGGGCCTGTGCCCTTGACCGGAACTGCACACGCCCAGGGCTGAGTGCATTTTGAGAAGATGGGTTTACTTAGCTCCTCAAGGAAGCTCTGAGGAAAGGAAGGAAAGAAAAGAAAAAAAAAAAACACTCCACTTCCTTCCTTTCCTCAGAGCCAGGGGATTGACTGCCGAGTGCTGTGCGCGGCCTTAGAGCCTAAGAGAAGGGGAGCCGAGTGGTCCGATATGCCTGAAGTGACCCGGATGCAGGCAGACTTCTCGGTCCCCCAACCTTACGGTTCTCCAGGCACCCCATTCCGTTTCCTCCTTGGCACATCTATTCGGGGGGCCCCCAGGAGCAGCCGCCGGAAGACATCCATGCTTTTGACGAAAGCCAACCGTTCCCAACAGACCCCTTTTTTAGTCACAGTGAGAAAGGGGGTTTAAAAATGCCTCTAGAGAAAGTGTTTTGAAAGTTTTCATTTTTTTTGCTGAGCATAAAAAAAAAAAAAAAAAAAGTACAAAGAAGCCTAATTGGGAATTACATAATTCAAGACATGGGAACCTTTCCTTCCTGGCCTAGTTTTAGATATTCACGTCCTGGTCATAGCCAGAACTCAAGAAAAGTTAAGGGGGAAGGAGCCCAGCTGGCGTGGCTCAATGGAAGAGCGTTGACCTTTGAACCAGGAGGTCAGGGTTCAATGCCCGGTCGGGGCACAGGCCCGGGTTGCGGGTTCCATCCCCAGCGGGGGGCGTGCAGGAGGCAGCCGATCCATGATTCTCTCTCATCACGGATGCTTCTATCTTTCTCCCTCTCTCTTCCTCTCTGATATCTATCTATCTATCCATCTATCTGTAGATACATATCTGCATCTCTATATCTATAGATCTAATATAGATAAATGAATCTATCTATATAAATGAAGCTAAGGGCGAAAAGGAAATGGAAGCAGAAGTCCGAGAACTCCCCAGGCCTCCCAGTCCATGTGAGGACACCGACAAGCAGTCGGCAGCCTGGCAGGGGGTCCCTCCCAGCACCCAGGGGGCACCTGGCTTCCAGCCCCCCAGCCTCCAGAGCGGTGACACATCCTCTCCAGTTGTCTATAAGCCACCCCGCTGCTGGTGACTCAGCCCAGGCTGACTCAGCCGAAGGACATCTCGGTGGCTTCCCAGTTTGGCAATTCCGAATCAAGCTGCCATCCCCGTTCACGCACAGATTCCACGCGGACTGCTTTGAGCTGCTCTGGGCAGACGCCAAGGAGCATGACGCCTGGGTGACAGGGCCAGAGTCGGTGGAGTTGTGCGAGAAGCCACCGAACAGCTTTCCACGGCGGCTGGGCCATGTGGCATCCCTGCCAGCGTCGCACCCTCACTGGCATTGGGTGTTGTCTGGAGGTGGTGGGGAGCATCTTCTCTGATGCCTCTTGGCCATCTGTCCGACTCCCTTGGCGCTGAGTGGGGTGCGGTCCTTGGCTCCTTTTTCATCAGGTTGTCTGTTTTCTTCTTGTTGAGTTTTAAGAATTTGTCTGTTTTGGGTCACAGTCCTTGATCCGACGTGTCTTTGGCAAATGTGTTCTCCCAGTCTGTGGCTTGTCTTCTCCTTCTCTTGACATGGCCTTTCATAGCACAGAAAGCTTTATCTTTTTTTTTTTTTTAATATGCTTCTTTGACATTTTTTTTTTAAATGGATTTCAGAGAGAAAGAGAGAGGAAACAAGAAAAACATCAATCAGCTGCCTCCTGCACACCTCCTACTGGAGATGTGCTCACAATCAAGGTAGTGGATAGATCATCGGCCTGCAGAATGAAGGGTCCCAGGTTCGATGCCGGTCAAGGGCATGGACCTTGGTTGCGGGCACATCCCCAGTAGGAAGTGCGCAGGAGGCAGCTGGTCGATGTTTCTCTCTCATCGATGTTTCTAGCTCTCTATTCCTCTCCCTTCCTCTCTGTATATAAAAATCAATAAAGTATATTAAAAAAAAAAAACAAGTTTCAAAAACCCACCTCATTATTTTCATTCCTTTTACCTAGAAACCCCTAAGCTAGCTTATTTCTTTTTCTAAAAAAAAAGGGGGGGGGGTCTAATGGGGTTTGGATGGTGCTTTAAGGCCATTTTGCTGGCCAAACACCTTGGCCATAAGTTCGCACAACCTGCCCGAGGCTGCGGTGACCCCAGAGCAGGCTGGCCAGGGCCACGGTGTGCGTGTGTGTGTGTGTGTGTGTGTGTGTGTATGCCAAACGAGAAAGTTCGTACTGAAGCATCTGCAGGAGAACCAGCCCTGTGATTATTCAATTACTGCGCACCCCGGGGTCTGACTCACCACCAGGTTTCCCGGCGCGCCCATCTATTTACCGCTCGATTGAATAATTCCCCCTGGAGGGGATCATGCGCTTGTGCTGACAGTCCCCACCCTCCCCAAGGGGACAGAGTGGCTTCCAGAAACAGCTGCTGCCGAAATAACACTGCCTGGGCCTCCCCTCCTTCCCTGTCGGGGGGGGGGGGGGGGGGGTCTCACCTTTGGAGAGGGGGTGGCTGTGACCCGAGGAGAAAACCATAGGTGTAATGCCGGGGTCTGCTACTGGCCTGGGGCGGGTTTAAAACCACTTGGCTCACCCTGGCCGGTGTGGCTCAGTGGATAGAGCGTCGGCCTGCAGATTGAAAGGTCCCGGGTTTGATTCCGGTCAAGGGCATGCACCTTGGTTGCAGGCACATCCCTAGTGGGGCGGGGGTTGTGTGTAGGAGGCAGCTGATCAATGTTTCTCTCTCATCCATGTTTCTAGCTCTCTATCCCTCTCCCTTCCTCTCTGTAAAAAAAAAAATCAATAAAATGTATTCTTTTAAATAGATTTTATTGATTTTTTTACAGAGAGGAAGGGAGAGAGATAGAGTTAGAAACATCGATGAGAGAGAAACATCGATCAGCCGCCTCTTGCACACTTCCTATTGGGGATGTGCCTGCAACCAAGGTACATGCCCTTGACCGGAATCGAACCCTGGACCTTTCAGTCCGTAGGTTGACGCTTTATCCACTGAGCCACACCGGTTTTGGCAATAAAATGTATTTTTTTAAAAAACAAAAAACAACAACAATGGCTCGCGTTACATGTTCCTGGCGAAATTCTCATCAGTTCAACATGGAGCAAGAAAAGAGAAAAATTATATACTGACATTTTTTTAGGAAGCTAAATATATCTACTTTTTTTTTTTTAAGTTTTTATTTTGTATTGCGTCTCCTAAATTATTTTCGGTAATAAAATGTCCTTCCTTTTAATAAATTACAGTAATATCAGATTACAGGATTTGTTTTCTTTTTTTAATGCCTTTATTTGGCAAGATAGGGATAGCGGCTGGACGACAGGCCCCTAATCTATTATTTAATTTTACTTGTTCATAACATCCAAACCGCTGGGAATTCTTAATCTAGAGCACACATCTCCGAGGCGCATTCTAAGCTGCTGCAATTGAGGTTGCCTGCAAAAAAAAATTAAAATTAAAAAAAAAAAAGGGATGGGGATTTTATTGTTAGATATGCTCAGAAGTGCTGGGCTAAGAAATATTCTTAAAAGGCAGAAAAAGGATACTCACTCTGGCCAGGAAGCTCAGTTAGTTGGAGTGTTGCAGGCACTTACAGGAATCAATCAAGGAATGCATAAATGAGTGGACTAGCAAGTCAATGCTCTCTCTCTCTCTCTATATATATTTTTTTTCTTACTACATATATATATTTTCTTACTATATATATATATATATATATATATATATATATACATACACATATGTTTTCTTACTACAGAACTTCTCAGAACCTTAAAAATACTAATGCAATTTTTGGGTGAATTCCAAAAATGAAGACACATTATACATTTCTCGAGGCCCAGTGCATGAAATTCTTGCACGGGGTGTGTGTGGGGTGTCCCACAGCCTGGCCTGCACCCTCTCCAATCTGGGACCCCTCACACAATCTGGAACCGCTGACTCCTAACCGCTCACTTGCCTGCCTGCCTGTTAGGCCCCTAACCACCCTCCCCTGATGACCTGATTGCCCCTAACCACCCTCCCCTGCTGGCCTTATAGCCCTAACCGCTCTCCCCTGTTGGCCTCTGCCTTGGCTTTTGTAAAAAAAAGAGGACTGGTCGACCTGGTCTAATTAGCCTATTACCCTTTTATTAGTATAGATATCCCACAATTATTTGACCAAAGAATTCTCTCATGAAGAATCATCTTAGCCATAGCTGGCTTGGCTCAGTGGATAGAGCATCAGCCTGCAGACTGAAGGGTCCCGGGTTCGATTCCTAATCAGGGCATATGCCTGGGT